ATCTTTACTGACTTATTTATTCGGGGGTTATTCAAAAAATTTATAAAGTTATTGATTTAACTTTTACAATCGACTTGGATCTTTTAATTTTTTTTTAATTATGCTTTTTTTGTGTTAAGAGTAAAGACTTCGGCCAAGGTTAATTAAGAGACTGTCTTGGATCGCGTCAAAGCCTACCAGTGGTAATCTTTTCAAAAAAGGACCGAAAAATTTCAACAAGTTTTGCTCTTGTAACAAAAAGCAAACAATTGAATCCTGACTCGAAAACAATATCACAAATGTAAAATATATAGCTAACCCTCGTTCAGCCCAGATCTAAACCCGTGGTATTATTAATCGTAGTCAATATATCACCTGATAAAAAAGTTACGCCGACATTGAGCCAGTGGCGAAACTCCCAATGACGACAGTGCATTAACCCACGGAATCGTTGCAAAAAATTAAAGGTCTGTGTCAAACCTGAATGTGAATTGATTTTGAATACAGCTGTTTTAGACTATTTGCTTCAACTTCGATACTTATTTAATTCAAGACAAAAACACCCGTTGGTGCTGCGTTTGTTGATCCGCCTGTCAAGTGTAACATTTAAGACTAATCTTCCCTAATGTGGGAGAAACCCATGTCCAGCCGTAGAATTTTAAGGCTGATACAAAGAAAAAAAATACTAAAATAAGAGGGGAAATTCAGAAAGTCTGTACGTGTTTTTATAAATGAATATTGAATTATTTATTAGAAGCATTTTTCAAATTAACGCCTTGCATCAAAAGAATTTAATAATCGACGAAATTACAGAGATATTTGACGTCTCGACGCTTTTGTGAAATATAGCCTGAGTTATAAATTTACGAGAAAGCTACTCAGTGGCGCAATGGCTTAGCAAGGAGTTGCAGGGCCGGCGGCCGCGGTTTTGAATCCTGCACGGAACAAGTCATCATCATCATTACAGCCCTTCACCAGTCATCGACTTCCTGCATGTCTTACCAGGTCGTCACTACATCTCGTGGGGGGTCGCCCTACACTTCGCCTCCCGGTACGAGGCTGCCACTCTAGAACCTTTCTTCTCCATCGGTTGTCGGTTCTTCGAGCTATATGGCCGGCCCACTGCCACTTCAGCTTACTAATCCGTTAGGCTATGTTGATTACTCTGGTTCTACTGCGGATATACTCATTTCTAAGTTTATCACGCAGAGAAACTCCGAGCATAGCCCTCTCCATAGCTCGCTGAGCGACCTTGAGCTTCCTCATACGGCCAGCAGTGAAGGATCACATCTCAGATCCGTAAGTCATCACTCACAACACGCACTGGTTGTATAATTTCGTTTTCAGGTTTTGAGGTTCAGGTTTTGATACACAAAATTGAATATCTTTCGTGCACTAAATTATTTTATTAAAAAATAACTGAACTTTTACCTTAATAGTTATAAAATAATTAAAAAAAAATTAAATAACATGTTCCCTGGAATAAACTGCACCTTTTTCATCATCCATCATAGCCTACAAAAGTCCACTGCTTATTATAGACCTCTCCCATAGATTGCCTCAAAGGGGGGATTATTCCATAGTTGACACGCTTGGAGACCGGGTTGCCAATCACAGTTTTTTTTTATTATTTTGAGTTGTTCTCAGGTGGTGGTGGAAGGTGCTGCTACATTACTATTCTGCATATTTCCAACCAAAAATTAATATCCAAAACCTGAAGGTAGCCGGGCTAACCGTGACATCGGGACGTCAAACACCTAAACACCCCAGTCCTCCCCGTGACCATGGGTGCTATAAAGAACCTATAACGTCGGGAATTAAAAAGTTAAATTAAACGCGATAGAATCCGTAAAATTAGTTTCATTAATTAATGTGTAGTGTTCGCGTAAATACATAGTTGATAGTTGGGTTCATAATGGCTTAAATAGGATAATCTCAAGACTGTAGTACTTTAAAGATTTATATAATCTTTAATGTACTACAGTTTCTTACCATCTTACCATCAGGTGGACTATGTGCTCGTTTGTCACCCTACGCTATAAAAAAAATTGTAATGTATAAAATCTATCTCTATTTTTATCTGAAGGTTTTGAAGTTAAATTTTTAATTCTTACTATAACAATATTATACTCACTGATACAAATAATATAGGAATGGCTCCTTTTAAAACAATAGTTTTCATTTTTATTTTATTGTCAAGAAATGTTTGCTGCAAATTGTTGAGTTCTTCTTTGGATTCCAACCAATCCGCCCAATTAATTCTAATCAGTGTTTTTATCTAATTAAAGAATCCAGATGGAATCTGTTAAGCAAACGGCAAAATGAATTTTTAGAAACGCAAATCGATCGTTTAATTTAATTTCCCTTTTTGTTGTATGGGCAAGTCCATCGATTCTTTATAAACATTAAAGATAAATATAAACACAAATTTTCATATAGCTGAATGAATACATATAGTACATGTAAAATATTTAGTTTAAAAATGAATTCACCAAAATCATACAAATTATCAATAATTTGATTTTAATTTGCAAAATATCAAAATTAATTAAATAATGGAATATATCTAAATTTTAAACAGTATATAACCTAATTTTTAACCAAAAATAGAGGCATCATAGCAATAACGACGTCTTGCGAATTTGTCTGCGGAATGTGTTACGTTCAAATGCGTGACAATCAGGGTATCATTTTTAGATATTAATTTATTTTTCCTTACGATCCTTTTTTATAAACCCGAAACAGTTTTCAAATTCTTTCTATACTCTTTTTAACCTAAGTTTTTATTTCTTGAAAACTTTATACTATATACTAGATTAGGAATATATTTTACATACATGAAGAATTTGGTAAGTAAGGACTACCTATCTGTCATTGGTAATGATTATTGCAGACTTATCTTAATACAAAGAATAAGGGTGACAAACAAGCAAACAGTACACAAGTAAGTGGATGTTGTGGTCTATAGACATCTACATTTATCCTTGCGTTGTACTGGAATGCCTCGTTTCCAGTAAAAAGGATCTCCGGTTCTCTACACTCACCATACGAAACGTAGCAGCATTAAGCTGCTATTTTACGCTGGTATTTTGTGAGAACATGGTCCTTCCCCGGTCGAGTCGACCCATTCGTGCTACAACTATACTATTAATATAACTACAGCATGGCTCTACCACGTAAAAAACACGTACCTTTACCTTTTTAAAAACACGTAACTGTACCTTTTCACTGGAAAAGAGGCATTCTATCTTAGTCCTCACGGCTGACAACGCATCTGCATTTTGTTTCGCGGGCGAAGATAAATTTAGATATCTATGGGCCACAGCAACCACTTACCATCAGGTGGACTGTGTGCTCTTTTGTCACCGTTATTTTATTTAAAAAAAACCTACAAAGACGGAATGTCTCACAGCATGAAATTAAATGCATGAAATTATCTATAGCCTTTAAACCGGCAATACAGCAGTGCATGTACTGCTTTTGGGCAGCAAAATAGGTGAGTGGAGTGACCAGAAAAAGAGTATTACCACCTAGTAAATTGTAGAAAACAATATGTTAAAAAGCCCAAAATTAGACTAGACTTTTCATCACCATCGTCATTATAGGCTAAGGCAAGTCCACTGCTGAACATAGACCGATAAATAATGGCACAAAACCTGCCCCAGCCACCTGCATCTATCGACTTCCAACATGTCGTCACTACATTGAGTGCCACTCTACACTTCACTTAACGAGGCTGCCTGGTCAAGCTTTTTTGCGGACTTCAGCTTACTGATTTGTGGGGCTATGTCAGTTACTCTGTTTCTACAGAAAATATCATCGTACCGGATTCCATACTGCAGAGAAACTGACCACAGCTCTCTCCACATCTCGCTGAATGCTCTTAAGATTCCTCATAAATTAAATACCAATTAAATATCTTATTGTACTGAAATTTGATCGCATACTTCTATCGTAATTAGTTTATGCTAAATAATTAAAAATAATACGGACTATAAAAAGAATAAGGCTTGAATGTAACGTACGTTTAAAATGTAGTGATTATGTACTCTTGGCGTACGTTCGTTTATGATAGGGATTTAATATAAAGGTAAATTATTCATCACTTGGTTTTTATAGACAATTTGATTATTACATGCCAACTTAACTAATGTTGTATATTAACGTACCTACCAGATCCTTCTTTATAATTATAGTCATATAGACACTGCCAGTCGATTTTCAATTAAAATATAAATTGCAATATTGTTTTTTTTTTTTTAAAACAGGTGAAGTACTCCAACATGTATTAAAGTAGCACAAAATTTAGGCAGACACTTCCTTGCTCTAAAACTCTCAGAAATGAAAGCAAATCCTGTGCCCAAATGTAGATCGTATGTAGACTGTTACATTTACCTTATATACGACATTTTGCATGAAACTTTCATGATATAATTGGCAAAAAGTTCAGTTTTTCAATGTGGATAATAACTTCCCAAAGAAATTAATGAAAAGTAAGTATGTTTTGATTTTTATTTTGATGTTTGTTTTCTTAATATCTTAAGCGAAAATAATTTTAATTCCACTCTTATTAATACGAAAAAATCTAATCTTACATTTTACAAGTGTCAAAGGTAAATAATCACATTCCCATATAGACAAGTCTTTGTATTCTAGCTTACATAATTCTTTTACATTTGACTAAATCACTCTTAACACAAAACTAACTTTTATTATGATACGACTGACGAAGCTCTAAGCTTCAATTGCAAATAGCATTACATTTCATAAAGTCACAAATATCATTATATGGTTGATAACAATAAATTAAATGTTAAATTGCAGTCCAAATTCAATTTTTAAATAATGTACAATATCTACGAATTTTGCCAAAAATATCGTACAAAACGACAAGATTATTAACATAATAAGTTATAATTATAAATGTGTCATAATTTGCAAATAAAATAATATAATATAGAATTTTAATATTTTCTTTAAAATACCTAAGTAAAGTTATTGCAAATTTATAAAGTTATAATTCAACTATCCACTACGATGGCTCTTTTAGGTAACAAAATTTTATCTGCATCAGATCGTTCAGTGCCCTTTATTTCATCCTCTATTTCTTGCAATGTCCTATCCTTAGTTTCTGGCAAAATAAAGTATAAAATTGCTAAACAAAATATTACTATCAAAGCGTACACAGCATAAGTACCTGAAACATCGATAAATTCTATCATCATAGGTGTTAACTTTAATGTGAGGGCATAGAAAATTGTATATGCTATTCCTGATATACAAGAACATATCCCTCTATATTCCAAAGGAAAAACTTCTGCTGTTATTGAAAACCCTACTGGTACTAAACCAATATGAGCTACGAATGTATGTAATAATATTAAGAACGGGATTAGCCATGACACTTGAGACATAATATCATATTTGGATTTCAAAACTACCATTAAACTTATAAAGAACATTATTGCAATTGTTAGTAAACCTAAACTAAATAATAGTGTACGTCTTTTAAATATACGTATTACAAAACATGATATACTTAAAGCGAAAACTAACAAGAGATCGGACACTATGGAACAGTACATTGCTATTGATTTGCTGCCAGTAATTTCTACTAATATTTGCGTTATATAAGCTATTAGAAAGTATCTGCCACAAGCATCGATACATAAAGTGACAAGTGCAACTATAAAGCAAGCTTTCTGCATCTCTTCATTTTTTAATGTTTTTATAAAACTCTTTACAATAGAAATCTTTTCAGATTTCTTCATCAGTTCCTGTCGTTCCACCTGTGCTTTAATTAACTCTTTAAGCTCGCTTTTACTTTTTACTGAGTTTCCATTTATCCAAGTGAAGGATTTTTCGGATTCGTCGAATCGTCCTTTCATAGCTAAAAAGGCTGGGCTCTCAGGCCAGAATAGTACAAATATTGCAGCTAATGCTGATGGTATTGTACAAAATGCAGCAATTTGTCTCCATGTACATATAATTGCAAAAGAATGACAGGCCAATGAACCCATACCTAATGTTATTTTATTTAGAGTCATGAAATATCCTCTTCTGCGTGGATTTGCATATTCAGATAAAGTAATTGCACAGATAAATATTCCGCCCATACATAAGCCTTGGATTGATCTACCAAATATTAAGACTGTGATACTGTTGGCAAGGGATAGTGTGATCCAGCCGACGACCATTGTGACATTCAATCCAATACCGACCACCTTCCGACCGAAGCATTGAAATATAGGTGAGAAAATTAAGAAACCGACGACTCCGGAAATGCCATTAGAAGATGCTGAAAATACAAAAAAAATAATTTAATGTAAAATAGCCATGCATATATTATATATACCTGCAACCAAAATAATCCTGTACTAAATATAACATCGGTATCACTGGGTAGATTATAGTCATATTTACATCTGTAATATAATTCTAGCTGGAGTTCTAGATGGTAAACACTTTATTCTTAAAAACTGCCTTTTTTCCCTTGCTTTCAAAATTCCAAATTGTAGTACTCAGGAAGGAGAGACGTAAGCAAGGAATTCCAATCCGTCACTAAGCGCACCGAAATAAAAAACCGGCCAAGTGGTTTTGTACCATCGTAATACACGTTTCTAGTAGGGGAGGGTTTTTTGTTATAGCGGGAACACAAATACATATTGTGTTCCCGCTATAACAAAATTTTAACTGTCTACCCATTACAGATCATGAGATACAGTCCGCTGACAGACAGACAGACTGACGCGCGAACGGTCGGACTGCGGCGGCTTAGTAATAGGATCCCGTTGTAACCAACGAGAAGTGTAAAAGGAAGTGAAAAATATTAAATAATGCATTCGATAATTAAGGGAGTCTGAACATCTTAAATATCATGTTAAAATAAAAATATATCGACACCGTAAAAATTTTGTTTCTTTGGCAACAATATTAAACGTCGTTTTATCTAGGATAACATATATATACTAATTTTAGATCCTCTGTACTAAAGTATAGCGTGTTTGTTGGCAGATCTTTTGCTCTTCAGTGACAACAAATAAAACAAGCAACAACTGGACTGCCAGCTCAAATTTTAGTCTCATAAGCATCATCATTATTATCAGTCCATCAAACATTAACCACAGGTTGTCTACCATAATATGCACTGTTGCTCGATATTTGCCACGCACAATTTTAAAATCGGTATACTCATAAAAAAATCCATCTGTATATGTAACTAACCTATCCAGGAAGCTTGGGCAGAAGTAGCCGTGATGTCTGTGCTATTCGGAGATAGGATCGCCGGATTTAGGACAGCCGGGAAAGCCAACATGAATCCCACAGAAAACGAGTGTAGACATGCTGGGATCAGTATAAATATCTGCAAACAATATTATACCATTTTGACAGTAGTCTTTAAAAAATGACGTCGTTTAGAAATTCATCGAAGCTAAAAATCCCGTACATCACCAGCGATAAGTGTTCGCTTTACATTTTCATAATACTCGAGAAAACTGAATTGAACCTCGCCGTCTCCACGGAAATACTTAATTTAATTTCAAGTGCTAATTTACCTCTTACTTTGGGTACTATTTTTCTATTTAGGAGCCCGTCTGTATTCTGGTCTGAAGTGAAGCGAGAGCTGGTATAGTTACAGAGTGTAAGACGTTTTGTTGTAACCTTCATAAGAGACAATGTATCTTAAGGTTTTTTTTTTTAATTTTAAGTTGGTTTTAGGTCCATGAGCTGTAATAGCCACTTACCCTTCCATCCTGCCATTACACCGCTGGGTACGTTCACGTGACCTGAACAGCCGACAGTGTTGATTTGACCGTGACCTCATTACGTACCAAGTGTCATATTTTAAAAGAACAATGGCAGACTTTCATACATAAAATTAGTTGAGAAGAAATGGTAGCGTCTATATATCAAAAATATCTTAAAATTTTAAGCATCAGTCCCTTAATAACTCTCTCAAAGAATTTTGTCCTGAGAAGGCCTCAAAAAAAAAGATATTTAGTTTTAACCTTTTTAAGTTATGTCCTATGTCACTTGGAAAAAGTCATGCTTCCTGTGGTTGTTTGATGTTAGTTTAATACATAATACATAATTGAGAGTTTTTACATTATTGTATCTCTATTATATATTTGCATACTATAAATGTATATTTCTGGCATGGCTCCAGGGCCTTTGTATTATAGTGACATTCTCAGAAAGGCTAGAACCCAGAGCCGTAAAGCCAGTAAAAAAACAATGACATTTTGTTTTAGCTAGTGTTGGCATAACATTAAATTGAATTGTTACATAGTACTATGATTGAGATAATGTATTATTGTAGGAAATTCTTTGTAAGAGACTTATTCTCAGCCATATCACTTTTATTTTTATTATTACTGGTAGTACAGTTATTACTAATGATAACTTAATATAAAAATATTTTGTGTGTAGTGTTGTTAGTCTTACAAAGTATATACGAAAATAGTATGAATATACTAAATGGCAACACTTGAATAGGGTAAAATGATTTGAGTCATTTGATATTCCCAAAAATGTTTGTTTTTTTCTGTGGCTTTAATTAAAATACATTTTTATTTGAAAAATCATAGAAAAATAATAAAACTCATTTTATATATAACTTATTTCTAGACGCGATAATTTTTATCAACTATTTTTCTGCCATTGCTCTTTTCGTAGTTAGTTTTACTTATAATATACGGCTTCACATAATGTTATATATACAACATAATTGTGGACCTGTACTTCATTGAAAAACGATTAATGGGTGGTAATTGTTCGGACATGTTACAAGGTGTTATTCAAGATCTCCTGGACGATATACTGGCATTTCCCTTATCTGCGCGGAGAATCTATGATATATATATGATATTATGGATACGTCAGATTATAATTCTAAAATACAAGAACTTTTGTCGGATGCAAGTACGTATAAAAAGGTTAAAAATGACCCAACGAATAACACACTTAAAACAACTAGTGATCTCATAAAGAAATACTCCGAAAAATTAAATCTAGACGTAAAATCGATAATACCTACGTGTGCTAAACCACCGAAGTTGTATGGGTTACCAAAAATACACAAGGCCAATGCTCCACTACGTCCTATAGTGAGCCAAATCGATTCACCAACTTACAGATTGGCTCAATACTTAGCGAATATACTCTCACCGCTCAAGGGACATACAAGAGCACACACAAAGGATTCCTACCATTTTGTCAGCGAGATTAAAGACCTACATCTGGCAGACAATGAAACTATGGTGAGTTTTGATGTGCAGTCTCTATTCACATGCCTACCTGTTGAAGACTGCATCTCGATTGTTACTAGAAGGCTAGAGGAAAACAACATGCCCGTAGAATATGCAGTATTACTCAGACACTGCCTTACATCTGGCTACCTATTGTGGAAGGAGGAGTTCTACAAGCAAGTAGATGGAGTGGCGATGGGCTCACCTGTATCTCCCATTGTCGCCGATATATTCATGGAGGACTTTGAGGAGAAAGCCCTGCTTACTTCTCCCATAAACCCAAGATTCTACAAGCGGTACGTAGACGACACTTTCACAATTCTACCTTTAGATAAAGTAACTGCATTTTTAGACCATCTTAACTCCTTAAATTCTAAAATTCAGTTCACAATGGAGTTAGAGGCAAACAATTCTTTAGCTTTTCTAGATGTATTAGTAATTCGGAATCCTGATAACACCTTGAGCCACACTGTGTATAGAAAAAAGACCCATACAGATAGATATTTAAACGGTGATTCTCACCACCATCCTTCACAGTTAGCTACCGTGGGTAAATCTTTGTTTCAGAGAGCACGAGGGATCTGTGACAGTAAACACCTGGCTGCCGAGCTCCAACACGTCAAGCAAGTTTTGCACGACAATAAGCTTCGGGTCCCGCGCCTACGTCACAGTGAACGAGTGAAGCCGGCCACAGTCGAGCGAGTGCCTGCTGTACTGCCATATGTCAGAGGTGTCACTGACAAGATTGGCTACATCTTGAAGCGTGCTTCCATTAAAACATATTTCAAGCCGCCGAAGAAGATTAGTCAGTTTTTACCATCAGTCAAGTGTAATATTCCTCTGCAAGATGCAGGAGTGTACAAGCTGGATTGTGAATGTGGTCTCTCTTATATAGGACAAACTAAAAGATCCATAAAAACCCGCGTTAAAGAACACATAGCTGATGTGAAGAATAGACGCTCCGGGAAGTCTGCAGTCTGTGAACATGTACAGGATCGCCCCCGTCACTACATTAGATTTGATAGACCACAAATCCTCGCTAAAGAACACCGATTCCTTCCAAGGATGATTCGCGAGGCTATTGAAATCAAAAAACATCCTAATTTCAATAGAGAAGATGGCTGGGTGCTACCATCTGCTTGGGATCCCATAATTAATAAAATTAAATCCCAACCCAAGCATACAACTGCAAGACTTCATGATACTGTAAGTTCATACTGCGTAGATCGGAACAAAAATTAATAATTTTTAATCTGGAGGTAGCCGTGGTTAACTATGACATTGGGACGTCATACACCTCAGTCCCCCCCGTGACCATGGGTGCTGTAAAGTGCTTGAAACGTCGGAAATGTAAAATAAGTTAATATACGCGATAAAATCCGTAAAATTAGTTTCATTTAAATGTGTAGTGTTCGCGTAAATATAAGAAATCACTAACAGCCTTCTTTCAACTTTGTCAAACTGACCCCTTTGCAAAAACGTTGTTATATTCTGAAGTTTAATAATAAGAATTAACGGTGGTAGAGCCACGCGGCAGCTTTTGCTGTTGCACGTATGGGCCGGCTTGAGCCGGGTTAGTACCACGACCTCACAGAATACCGGCGTGAAGTGGAAGCTCTGCTTCCGCATTTCGTCTGGTGAGTGCAGGTGACCGGAGGCCCATTCCCCCCTCCCCATCAACATGGTAGCGGAATTACATCATAAACTACCACAGGAGGGTACTAGTACCCCTGGAGAATCCCTCGCTGAGCATCCACGACCATGCTATTCCATTCCTGAGCGTGGGTGCTCAGGCTGCTCCGCGTATTCTGGGGGGGGGGGGGGCAAAATTCCGCTCAACATAATAACTGCTCGGGGCAAACTGAGCAACAAGACCAAGGCGATCCCTGCCACGCTATCCGTGAATTTCTGCAACATCAGGGGACTTCACTCGAACCTAAACGCCGTCCACTACCATCTCGAGACGGCGAAGCCGGCCTTGCTCTTTCTGACTGAGACGCAGGTGTCCTCTCCGGCTGCTACTTCGTATCTCTCCTGCCCGGGGTACAAATTGGAGCACTCCTTTGTGGCTCGGGCTGGAGTTTGCGTGTATGTCAGAGAGGACATCTGTTCTCGACTCCTCGGCATTCTTGAAGGTTCGGACCTATCCATCCTTTGGCTACGCGTAGACAGCGATGACCATCCGCGCATCTACGTGTGCCTCTATAGGTCCCATAGCGGTAATGCCGAAACAGACCGACTCATCGACCACGTCCAAATGACTATAGATTCCTTGCTACAACAGGTCCCATCCGCAGAGATCGTGATCCTTGGCGATTTTAACGCCCACCACGCCGAATGGCTCGGTTCACGTTTAACCGATCATGCGGGGAGATCTGTTTATGACTTTGCCTTGGCATATGGTCTGACACAACTGGTTACACCGCCTACGCGGATTCCAGATGTTGAGGATTATACACCTTCCCTGTTAAACCTTCTGCTGACCTCTCATCCGGACGGATATCAGGTTTCCGTCGATGCCTCTCTTGGAGGTAGAGCCCAAGGGGAAGGCATTGGGCGTTAGTTTGGACATTGCGAAGGCCTTCGATCGGGTTTGGCATTCTTTCGAAGCTCCTTTCCTATGGGCTTCCCGAGAAATTATGCAATTGGATCACCAGCTTTCTTGCAGATCAGAGCATCAAGGTCGTTGTAGACGGTGCATGCTCCGACTACAAACCTATTAACGCTGGTGTTCCACAAGGCTGCGTGCTATCACCAACGCTGCTTCTTCTGCATATCAATTGTAACGAACCCCCCCCCCATCTTTTTTCTTTTCTACTATATATCCACTTATACTTGTATTTCTTTAGAAGCTATATATGTAAGATATATAAATATATCTAATTTACGTGACCAGTATAACTTGATCTTTCTAAAGGTTTAAATATAGGCCGTTTAATAAATTTATGGCGTGATCGTCTTAGTTAGGACCCTTTTTTACGTTGTGTTTGTATAGTAACTTAGTTCTTTTAGGTGTATCTTGGAAGAATGAATATTCACGAGAGCAATCGAAAGCTGTTGGTAGAGTCTTATAACCTAAAGAACCCCGTTCACGAAGACAGAGCTCAAAAAGGTT